TATTATTAATAGTAATATTTAATATCTGTTTAGAAAGACAAACCTTGAGGCTTTACTTTATCTAAGGAGAAGAAAGGGAGGGAGGGAGGGAGGGAGGGAAGGAAGGAAGGAAGGAAGGAAGGAAGGAAGGAAGGAAGGAAGGAAGGAAGAGTATTATATTGTTTAGTGGTAGCTTCTAAAATAAGTTCATCATGGAGCCATTATGGTTGTAAGGCCATGATAGTCATAAAGTGATTCTCCCATGTGATCTGCCTGATTTTATGACCTTTTTTCAGTGGTTGTTAAGCAATAGCAACAGCACCTATATATCACTCCATGGATATGAAGCACTCTCTGGGTGGTTTACAACACCGGCATATTGCCCCCAACAATCTGGGTTCTCGTTTTACCAACCTCACAGGGATAGAAGACTGAGTCAACCTTGAGCCAGGCAGGATCGAACTGCTGGCAGCCAGCAGAGTCAGCCTGCAATACTGCAGTCTAACCACTGTGCCAACACAGTTACTAAATGCTGAATCACCATGACCATTAAGCAAATCCATTGGTCACTATGGCATTTTTTCTAAAAACCAAAATAGCTCGTAAATTGTGGTCGCATAACTGCAGGGTGCTGCAAACAGCCATAGATGTGGGTGAGTTTCCAGTTGCCAAAAATTCAGGCTGGCAAGGGGGGGGGGGGAATAGCCACTGGAACTTCAAAACTGGATCATAAGTACTTCTTCAGTCCATCATAATTTCAAATAATCACCAAGTGACTAGTTAGGGACTACCTGTATGCCACAACAGGGAACTACATATTTTTTCAGCCCAAAATCAGGTTTTGAAATGTTTGCAGTCAGAGGCAGTTAAGTACGCTTGTTGTGGATTCTTTGCAAATACCTGTGTTACCAGGCTACCCGAATAGTTCAATCTTACCTGTTTATAATATAACTTAGGAATTTCCTTTATTTTCAACTTTTTCTTCTGCCTTTGCATCACAAACCTAAAGGCAGAGATTACCTTGCTTCTGATATTTGTAAGTTTGGGGGATGGTTTAGCAAAGAATAGAGCAAAAATGCTTTGGGGAAAAAAAACATTAAATGAAGCTTTGTGCTTCTAGTAAGAAAAGCTTGTTCAGATTTTCCTGTGACTGATATTTAGAAAAATGTGCATGTTAATTGCAATCACACAATTAATGTCTTATGAAGTGACAAGATGCTGTGTGTTTTAAAGAACTACAAGATACAGATAGGAAGACACCATTTCTACTTACAGTACATGGGCTAATTAATACAAGTAGTCCTTGTCTTACAACAGTTGATTTAGTGACCGTTCAACGTTACTAGGGCATGAAAAAAAAATGACTTATGACCATTTTTCACACTTACAACCATTGCAGCATGCCCATGGTCACGTGATTTACATTCAGATGCTTGACCACTCGTTCATATTTATGACGATTGCAGTGTCCTGGGATCATGTGATCACCTTTTGTGACCTTCTGACAAGCAAAGTCCACAGGGAAACCAGATTCACTTAACAATCATGTTAATAATTTAACAACTGCAGTGATTCACTTAACAAATGTCGAAAGAAAAGTCGTAAAATAGGGCAAAACTCACTTAACAAACTCCTTACTTAACAACATAAATTCTGGGCTCAATTGTGGTGGTAAGTCAAGGACTACCTGTAAAAGGACGTTAAGGATAAAGTTCTGGGCACAATCTTGTTTTATCTTGTATGTTCAGACTTATTTCTTCATAATTTTCAAATAGTAAATAATAATAGTAGTGGTATCTTTGTTACGCACTTATAAGGAGACTGAATACAAAATAATAAAATACAACATCAAAAATTAATACAGTAACCTACTACAAACCAGGGGTGGGTTGCCCCGGGTTCAGCCCGGTTCTTTTGAACCGGTAGTAAAACCGGCGGGAGGCTCTGCCCACCCACCCAGATGTCGTCATAGACGATCTGTGCATGTGTTGTGAACTGGTAGTAAAAGTAAGTAGTTTAGTTTTATTTAGTTTAGTTTATATTTGATTTGTATACCGCCCTACTCCCGAAGGACTCAGGGTGGTGAACAGCCAACAATAAAATACATAAATACACAAAATTTTAAAAACCCGATAAAATCAAATTAAACTTTTTGGCCCAGACAAATTAAAATACCCCAATAATTTAAAAACAGATTAAAATTTACATATTTAAAAAGGGAAGAGATCAGGCCAAGCCCGCTTGATGGAATAAAAAGGTCTTCACAGCACGGCGGAAGGAGCGCAGATCCGGGATCCTCCGTATCTCCGGGGGGAGCTCATTCCAGATGGTAGGTGCCCCCACAGAGAAGGCTCTCCCCCTAGGGGCCGCCAGTCGACACTGTTTGGCTGACGGCACCCGGAGGAGTCCCTCTCTATGAGAGCGTACTGGCCAGTGGGAGGCTATTGGTGGTAGTAGGCGGTCCCGTAAATAACCAGGCCCTAAGCCATGGAGCGCTTTAAAGGTGGTAACCAAAACCTTGAAGCGCACCCGGAAGACCACCGGGAGCCAGTGCAGCTCGCGCAGGAGAGGTGTTACATGGGAGTGCCATATCGCTCCCATTACCACCCGCGCGGCCGCACTCTGCGCCAGTTGGAGCCTCCGGGTGCTCCTCAAGGGGAGCCCCATGTAGAGAGCATTACAATAGTCCAGGCGGGAGGTGACGAGGGCATGAGTGACCGTGCGTAACGAGTCCCGATCCAGAAAGGGACGCAACTGGCGAATCAGGCGGACCTGATAAAAAATCCTCCCGGTCACGGCCGTCAAGTGCTCTTCTAAAGACAGCCATGAATCCAGGAGGACGCCCAAGTTGCGAGCCTTCTCCGTGGGGGCCAATGATTCGCCCCCAATAGTCAGTGATGGCGTCAACTGGCTATATCGGGACGTCGGAAACCACAGCCACTCGGTCTTGGATGGGTTGAGCCTGAGCCTGTTCCTCCCCATCCAGATCCGTACGGCCTCCAGGCACCGGGACATCACTTCAAGGGCATCGTTGGGGTGATCCGGGGTGGAGATGTACAACTGGGTGTCATCAGCGTACTGATGGTACTCCACCCCGAAACCACGGATGATCTCGCCCAGCGGCTTCACATAAATGTTGAACAGGAGAGGTGAGAGGACCGACCCTTGCGGCACCCCACATATGAGGGGCCTCGGGGTCGACCTCTGTCCCCCTGTCAACACGGACTGCGACCGGTCAGAGAGAAAGGAGGAGAACCACCGCAACACAGTGCCTCCCACCCCTAACTCTTCCAACCGGTGCAGCATGATACTATGGTCGATGGTATCAAAAGCCGCTGAGAGATCTAACAGGACCAGGACAGAGGAGCACCCCCTGTCCCGAGCCCTCCAGAGATCATCAACCAACGCGACCAATGCCGTTTCCGTGCTGTACCCGGGCCTGAAGCCCAACTGGAACGGATCCAGATACGTCGTTTCATCCAGGTGCTGGGGAAGCTGTTGCGCAACCACACTCTCAACAACCTTTGCCACAAAACGAAGGTTGGAGACCGGACGATAATTTACCAACATTGCCGGGTCCAGGGAAGGCTTCTTGAGGAGAGGCCTCACCACCGCCTCTTTCAAGGCGGCAGGAAAGACACCCTCACCCAGCGAAGCATTTATAATCCCCTGGAACCAGCCTCGTGTCACCTCCCGAGAAGCCAGCACTAACCAGGAGGGACACGGGTCCAATAAACAAGTGGTCGCGTTCAGTCTACCCAGAATCCTGTCCACGTCCTCAGGGGTCACAGGATCAAACTCATCCCAGATAACATTCTCAAGACCTGCCCCAGTCCCTCCCCCTGAGACTATCCAGTCGGAGTCCAGATCTTCCCGAATCTGAGCGATTTTGTCATACAGATATTGGACAAAATCCTCGGCTCTACCCTCCAAGGGGTCCTCCCGCGCTTCCTGGTGGAGCAGGGAGCGGGTCACCCTAAACAGGGCGGCCCGGCGATTATCTGATGACGCAATAAGAGCAGCAAAATAGCTACATTTCGCTGCTTTTATCGCCACTAGGTAATTCCTAATATGAGCTCTTACCAGTGTCCGGTCAGATTCAGAAAGACTGGCCCTCCAACTACTCTCTAGGCGTCTTTTCCGGCGCTTCAACTCCCTCAGCTCCTCAGTGAACCAAGGAGCTAAATGAGATCGGTGCCGGGTCAGAGGCCGCAAAGGCACGACCCGATCCAGAGCTTCAGTGGCCGCCCTATCCCAGGCGGCCACTAGGTCTCCAGTTGAGGCGTGTGCCAGAGCCTCAGGGAATGGCCCAAGCTCCATCTGGAACCTATCCGGTTCCATCAGGCGCCTGGGGCGGAACCATCTTACCGGCTCCGCCTCCCTGTGGCGGGGTGTAGCGGTTCGAAGGTCGAGACGAAGGAGAGAGTGATCAGACCATGACAAGGGCTCGGTGACTATATCCCCTATCTCGAGATCACTCAACCACTGTCCAGAGACAAAAACCAGATCCAGCGTGTTTCCCCCCGTGTGGGTAGGGCCATGAATTAACTGGGTCAGGTCCATGGCTGTCATGGAAGCCATGAACTCCCGAGCCACCTCAGATGCCTCACCAACGGACGGCAAGTTGAAATCCCCCATGACCATAAGCCTAGGGGTCTCAACCGCCACCGTGGCGATGACACTGAGTAGCTCGGGCTACAAACCTGTTTAAATTTAAAATCTAAAGTACAGAGTTTCACTAGGCTGGATAGCCGTGACACTGAAAACAGTTATTACAACCTGTATCTGAATAACAAAGTATTTCTATAGGATAAAAGTGAAATTGAAGCATCCTGCTTAGATAAAACCACTCTGAAACCTCAAGAGGATAGTGAAATTTCTTAGCTGAGGCTCAATGCATTTCTTTCTGTTATAAACAGACAAGGTGGAATTAGACTCACTGTTGGGTTAAATTATCTTAAGATATATCTGCATGCTATCTCTACCTATTGTACACCCAGCATGGATTCTTTCTGTTGCAGGTCTGCTGACAGGTTTGTGTCCCTTTGCAAACTATGCTGTAACCCTAATGGCTTGCACTTTGGCAGGCTGTACGGAGAGCTCACATGCCTTGAACATCTCCACTCCACAAGAAGGTAAAGTAATTTCAAAGGTCTTGACTTCCACATTTCAGTCATGAATAATAAAATAGGAAAGGAGCTAAATGCTGCAAAGCCATTTGCTGGAAAACCCCAACCTAATTTGATGACAAAGTGCATTGCCAGACCATAATTGCTCCATTTTTTGGGGGGGTGCTAAAATGAATCAAACTCCATACCCTTTAATGACATGCATCTTTAATAGCTGTAATGCAGATTAATGGGCTTTTTAATTGCTGTTACATTGTTCATGCAAGAGCCTTGTCATTAATATGAAGCATCTGAAAGATTAATGAAAGCTTCCTCATTTTACTATGGCTCAGAAGTAAATCTAGAGACAGTCTGACTAAAAAGAATTGATTGTATGGCACAGTATGAAATTGAGAATCAAACGGTTGATTTCCATGGTCTCTTTTAACTGCTAAACACCAGCACAGGCAACAATTATTTCAGCCTGATGGAACCTCAAAATGCCAATTGGGCCATTTATTAATCTGTTGTACTTGAAACTTAAAAGTTACAAGCTTAAATTATAGTTCTGAAGCTGGCATTAACCACAAGAGCTACAAGAAAGAGAAAAAGCTTTGTCTTTAGCCTATCTCAATAACGTCTACATATTGATTAATGTGAAGTTCTAAAAAGAATTGCAGGACATTTAAATTAAGCATAAAAGGATATGATGTAAACCAGTTTTTAAATTCATGCCAATCTAAATCCCGAGTTTTCCTCATGAAATAACCTTAATTTGGTTATTTCACTCAGAGTCACTTTGAGAGTGACATGGGCAGTACCTAAACTTGATTAATAAATAAATAAAATAAATATTGATTAAAAGTTTAGATAGAACAGAAGGATCTGTCTTTTAGAGAATGATGGTGTATCAGGATCACGTAAAATATTCATAAACCATGTGTCAATTTCCAAAGTTAATTTTGTTTTCATATTCAATTTATTATAGGTTCAGCTACCACACAATTCAGTCTGAATGTCTAAATGACTGTCTAATAACTGGGACAATACTGAATAAATATAAATGTTCAAAAAAAGTAAAACACATCTTTCCCTATAATCTTTATCTCAGTTCAGGGAGAAGGCAATAACTGCAGGACAGAATAGAAACCTCCACTTTCTTATCACACTCTAGTTGATAAAACAATCCCCCCAAATTTGTGGTTCACTGATAAATATTTCTTGGCTACAGACAAACCCAAACTCATGTGATTATATGGGAATAGGTGGTAGAGTCCTTTTCACAGAGGTATCGATTGCCCAGAGCAGATTTATGCATGGCTGTTTCATAAATTTTGTCATCCTCCTTTCATCTAAATGGGAATTAATTAGTTCAGATTTTAACTCCAGCTCAAATCAATAGGGAATCTTTAGCCCAAACAAGTGATCATGCTTACAAGCAAGAGGGAAAGATTAACTCAGGCAAAGATTAAAGTTCAAAAGATTTACAAGTTTATTTCATAAACATGGAGCATAAGGCATGCTATAAGTTTAGATAGGCATTTAGCTGAGCAATAGTAGCTCCGGATCTTGAATCAGGTAATTCTACTAACTTTTGTCTGACTGGAAAACTTTGAAAAGTCCAAGTTGCACTGGAGGCCAAATGATTCTCTTACCAAGCCCCCGTTCTATAATGTAATTGTCCCAATGTTCTTTCACCCCCCCCCCCATGGTCTGATTATCAATTTCACAAGCTATGAATCCAATAAATTCCTTTAATAAATATCCTTTTCACAATATATATCACTCTAAGTTCATAGACTTTATACAACAATAATACATAATTTGAAACAGTATATTCTGGAAAAATATGGAACCAAACAGTTGATATACTTAGCTGGTAATTAATCATTTAACTGATTGGGAACCAATATCTCTGAAATAAGTATTTCTTGCATTTTCATTTAGCTAAATGTGAGATTTTCAGTATTTGGAAATACGATGCATCATGTGGAACTAAATAGGTGTAAATATCTAAGTTGGAGCTTGAGACAGATGATCTTCACACATTTCTAGTTTAACATGAATGGAGGAGAGAGCTATTTGTAAAAAGTTTTGATTTTATCAACATCTTTGTGATTTCTTCTCAGATGTCATTCAAGTTCTTCTACTTCAAAACGTACCCTTAAATTATCTGTTCAGATAAGTCCTGTTTTATATTCCTAAATTCAGTTAGCATTTCAAAAAATATTCTAAATGCCCTCTGAGATACATCAATAAATTGATAACCTAATGCTTTGCTATCATTTGTCAATATGAATGAGAGTATTTGTGGATCACTGTGAAAAAAACTAATATATAAATATGTAAATATAGTCAAACTTCATTATATTTGGAGTCAGTTTTTCTAAAATAAATATTTCCTTTCAAATGATTGATATATTCAAACCAGGCATTCTATAAGTGATTGAGAAAATGTATTTATGCAAACATTGTTATGTACATAATGATTTTTTTTCTTCAAAAAAACAAAATCCAATAAAACCATGGACAAAGTAAGTTTTATGCCTACAAAGTGTTGGACACAAGTCAATATAAGCAGTTTCTATTTGGCAATGCTTATATTGCATGCATAGGAAAAATATCATAGGTTTGACAAGAATCATATATTTCGGCTGTCATTTCCCCATTTATCATTTAGCAGGTGCATTGCTAACCAATATTGGGCGATGCTATACAGAAAACTTGAGAATGATCAAATTGTCTTCTCAAATTCACCAAGTTGACCCATACTGGAAGAATGCAAAAGATATCACCAAGTTTAGTGAATGCAGCTTTGACTTTTGGGAGATTGTCTTCTTTCTATAGCATGTGTATGCATTTCATTATAACTGCACACTGTATTATTTCTTACACAGTGCTTTGTACCCTGGTCAAATTAGAAAAACAGAATTCATTCTAAAGTGCAGTTTAAATAGATGTGAAGAGCCAGTTTGGTTTAATTGTTATGGTAGCAAACTAGAAACCAGGAGACGAGGACTTCTAATCCTACTTTAGACACAAAGCTAGCCAGGTGACTTCAGGCCAGTCACTCTCTCTCAGCCCATGGAAAGAAACAATAGTATACCACTTTTGAAAATGTTACCAAGAGCACTGCAGGAAGTAGTCAAAGCAATAACCAGACACTGACACTGAATCAAAAATATCCCCCCCCCAAAAAGGGTTGAACCCCTAAAATAAGTGGTTCTAAATCATACAACTCATTTGATCATTAAGCTATTATTTGTTTGTTTGTTTGTTTGTTTGTTTTTACAGCTCCACAAAATGTCCAGCCACCCACAACTGTTTCATTCCCCACATCTTTATGGTTGAGTTGGGCTCCTCCAAAAGCACCAAATGGCATAATCACACAGTATATTTTATATATGGATGCTCAACAAATTTATACTGGAAATGAAACCAAGCTTATGGTCAAAGGTGAGTTATAACCACCTGATATTACCATATAGACTTTCACTTAGATTTGCCTGATTATCCCTTTGGAATTAAACTTCAGATGAGTCAAGTATGGCACATATTAAGCCACTGTTTTCCCATATTAATTAAGTAAAAAGTAAAGGATTTGCTTTTCTAAGGTTAAAAAGCAATTCTCATCTAGCAATCCTTTTTTCCCATTTGATCAGTAAATGATTTATACAGACTAATTTAAATATGGCTATATTAATGTGAGAAATTAAGAAATAAAAATATTATATTTCTCTTTTAGCAGTCATTGAGTGATAAGTATACATGTGTTAGCAAGACTATAAGTGTTCCCTATCACATATAGTCAAGAGGAAACTCAGCAATCAAAAAACTTTAAGAGCCTCCCTCCTCCCGTAAGTAGTGTAGTAAAGTAATGGCAGAAAATGAAAATAACAACCAGAGAATTTAGAACTAATTGTCCTAGAAAAGGTCATAGCTAACTATGAAGAACCTTGGAAATGAGTACTCCATTCTCCATCATTTTATTGCATCTTTTGTGAAGGCCTTTTTTACAATTTCATTATATGTCCAAATAAGATGATTATTTAAATTGTCAGGGCATGCAGCGGCCATCTAGGGAGTCATCTATGGGGAAAAAGGAGGCAAAAGACACGTGCATCATGCCATCACTCAAATAGCAGAATTTATATACTTCCATCAAGACCATGAGACAACCGATGCACATAATTGTGTCATTTGTGCAATGTCACTGTATATATTAACTTCTTGGTAGCAGTATTAAAGCAAATACACAGAGTATTCATGACAACGTCACCAAAGACAGGGTCCAGAGATTTTTTTAAAAAATGCATTTAGATATTACAAACTCAACTTGAATTAATGAGTTCATTACTGGTTTAGGCAGATAATGCTTCTGAAATTCATTAATATTGCAGCTCAATACTCACTTCACACATGAGCCCGACTGAATTCAATCAGCTTTATTTCAGAGTAGATGTACATAGGGTTGGCTACCTAGAGTGATTCTGATGTTATTGGTTGGATGGATATATACTTTTCTGTGAAATTGTGGGGTATATGATGTGTCAGCCTCATAAAAAAGAGCACCCAGCAGTGCAGCTTCCTAGTCACATATAAGACTGGTAGCTAAGGTACTTATACTGTATGTTCTACAACTAACCAATAAATCTCAATTTTCTAACATGAGATGTTACCTAGGGAGGTAATGAAATAGCTGCCAAATGAAAAACCAAGTTCAAAGAACCCCTACAATCCAACAAAGAGCAATATATACATACATGGCAAATGGAGGCCACCAAATCTTTCCTCTATGGTTTCCAGTAGTTATCATATTCTAATCCTGTTCCTTTAAAAACAGCCTTATTACTAGTTCGTATTTCTGTTCTGCTGTAAAATAATCCACTTTCTCACAACAGTTTTCTTTTCCAAATTAAGATCTACTCAAAACATATTTTACTTGTGTGTTTCTTTAAAATACTTTTAGTATAAATGCTTCAGTCAGCTGACTTTAACTAGCTTACAGCAACAATATATAATATATTATAAGAATTAACAAATTATCAAAAATATCAAATAATAAATACAATCAACATAAGCTACAAAAACATCATAAAATGATGTTAGAACGATCAAATCATAGTGAAATTCACAATGTTGTAACTCATTGGAGTGTTTAAGCACTCCAGTATCTTATCAATTTCCCTGAAACCAAAAATACAGCTTATATAATCATTTGCTCTGTGTTTTGCCCACTAGAAACCTTACAGTTTGAAGAACCTTACTATTAATGTTACATCAGTCTGGTATATATCATATATGTCATTAACTATGCATGCATGGACTGCAGTTCAAAAACTTACACTACGGCATGCATTTTGACTTTTTTTTTTTTAACATTAGAGGCATTGCATGCAATACCATGTAGCTATACAATTGAATATATGCCCAAATATGTAGCCTGTGTTGTTAATGCTAGTAAAATTCATAAAATATACAGTTTTAAGACTGTCTTCTTTAAAGTTATTTTAAAGTGCTTAAGGATTCGACCAAAGAGCAAAATTACAGACTGATCATTAATGAATCCAGAAAGATTTCAAAGGTTGAGTAATCCATGCCATCATACATTCTGGACGCTAATATACTGTTGACTTTCTTGTTCCAACATGCTCTTGTTTCCTCACTCTTTTCTGATAAGGAGAAAAATGAGGCAGAACATTTTAAGCAGTAGGAGTCATGAAAAATCATGGATACATGCCTGTTGTACTTGCGAGTGATGTATGGTGGTTGTAGGATTCTTAATGTCGCTCAGACCTTGACAGTGTAACTGTAATATTTCCAAAATACCGAATCAGAGAAAATCCTCAGATTATTACTGAGTAATCCAGTTTCACAAAAACTCTTATTTTCTGGTTGCAGTAAGGTTGCAGTTTTATTCCTGTTTATCCTGTGACACAGCAGTTCTTTTGAGTTAAAAGATGACCTGGAATAATCAAAACTCCTTTTGGAATTGAGCCAATCTACTTGAGATAATTTTGCAAAGGTTTGTTTGTGACAGTTAATCAGAGGAACTATTATCACAACGCTATTCATACAGAAAAGAATAAATTTTTAAACTAAGCATTCTAAAAGTTTTAAGCAGTTAACAATAGGATCCTGTATATGTTTTTGTGTGTGATAAATATGCTTAAAGCCTCAGACTACAGCCTAATTGGATTATACTCCACATTTTAATCTCATGAAAATTCAGAAATTCCTCTAAAATCCTTGCAGAGCATTCAAAATTGAGTTAGCGATAGAGATTAAGCAGCCTGACTGGGATGAGGTGAGAGTTTGAATATTCTTTTGTCAAGTGACTAAATCCTGAATCACAAAGGAAATTAAACTTGCTTTGCATACATGGCAGACAGGCAAGGTTAAGTTGATCAGACCTTTGAAATCTTGGCAGTAGAATGCATTTTTATTACAAGAACCTAGGCAAACTAAATGATGGTATTAGCATGGCTGGCTTTACATTACAGGTGTCTTCAGCAGAATATTTCCACAATTATGGCTTCTAGCCAGGAGGTTACCTAGGGGTAGCAACTGATTCAGTTTTTAATTTTCCTTGGTGCTGCTTTGGATCACCAATTCAGCCACATGGACCAAGGCAAGCATCTGCCTTGAATCTTGCCAAGGAGCTGTTTTCTTGGCAGCTGCTGGTATGTGTTAGATAGTGATGCTGGTGTCTGCTGTTGGCATCTGCTCACACAACTCCCCCCCCGCCCCTCCAACAACACAGAAAGTTGCCTCTAGCTTAATTTGGTTAGTTCCCTGATTGGTATCCCACTTTATTTGATCGGTCCTAAACTGACCACAATTTAGTTTGTTGAACAAGATGCAGCTCATGTTCTACTCGTGCAAGTCTTTATACATATAGCATTTCTGCATTTGTAGTTGATATGGAGCATTTTACAATACATTCAGTTAAAATATCTTGCCAGGCACATCCCATAAGCTACTAGTGTGGTGGGTCACTACTGACACTGAAAAATGAGTCCAGTTAGAGAACCCCCTGAAGGCTCTTGATGTATACTATAATAAATAGTGCACACTTTAAGTCAAACTTTTTCATTCTGTATTCAAAGGTAATGGATTTTCAGTAACCATAGTAACCTTGGTTTATTTCTAGATAAATACATGAGGTATATACATTTTGGTTTTATTTTTGAATATAAACTACCACATTATGTATTGCTAATAATATGAGAAATAGGATATCGGGTCACATAATGACAGTTTAAACTAGTATGCATTTTTCTTCTGGAAAAAATAAATATTTATCAAATGTATAGATGCAATTAATATTCCCCCCTCCAGGTTTTTCTATATTCTTGTACAATCATTTATCTTCTTCTTTGCAAGACCCCCATCAATCTTTTCTGTGTGCGCCTGTTCAGGTGCCTTCTGCCCCATGTCTTCTACAAATATGGAAACAAAGCTGGTTGTAATTTTGTATTTAAAATAATAATAATGCCTATAGTCAGAGTTGTATTTTCCTGGTCAGATCCTATCCAATTTGCCATGTTTAAATCTCTGTACCTGATGATGTAGCATAAGGCAGGAATGGGTTTTGTTGGTGGGTTGTCCATTCTGCTGTCTACCAATCTTCTTGCCTAAATTTCAGATGTAGTGCTGAAAACCACAAGGTATTTAGTTCTAGCATTTTTTTTTTTGTCTCGGATACAACTCATCATTTCATGGATCTTCTTCAATTCATTTCTTGTTCGGACTTATCAGTGAATGAGTTTTGGGCTTAAGGGGCAGTAGGAAGAGATATTATTGAATCCATGATCATATCAAAACTTGGATTGTTTGTTGTATTCCATCTCTGCAGGGCTGTCACTCTTCCCAGAAGATAGACGGAGCTAAAAGTTTCTTGAAGGCTCTGGGAAATGTTTTTGCAGTTTTGGCTGGCAACCCTGCTAAAGTTAACCAGTTAGTTAATTGCTAGATTTGGAGATTATTAGAGATATTGATGCCAATTCATTTTGCAAAATGCCACTGACTAACCATATATAACTCTAACTATATTCAGACCAACAGTCAAGTGAGCAATACACCAATCAAGAAATTGCCAACAAGCCAACAGTAAACAGCCCATCCCCACCAACACTGACAGGGCATAAAACACTAGAATATAAACTGAAAGCAAACCACACTCCTTACTAGCACTGAGGCTACCCAGTTTGGCTAATGAAGCATCTGCAAGAAAACAATGAAGCTCAGAGAGCAACAGAGACCCCCTTTATCATAAATAAGATTGTCAGGTTATGCTCTTTTTTTTAAGCTATAAAGCACAGCAATTCACTTTCAGCAGGATGAGGTTCTTGTTTTCACTTGAGTTGCTGTTTTATTTCTACTTACCATATTTTTCGGACTATAAGACGCACCAGTGTATAAGGCAGACCAAGATTTTGAAGAGATAAGCAAGA